CCCCATGCCAAAGACTGTAAAGACTTGAGTAGATAAGCATAACGTTAACAAGCCTAACCTGAAGCCCTAAAGCTGTAACTCCGTTTGATGAGATCCCTTAGGCAGGCACCGTTTCACATGAACAAAGGAAAAACTAATGGTTTAAATCAGATCGAGGGTAGGATATGTTTTTTGCATTATATTTAACTTCATTGTGGCAGGTATTTCAGTAACTTTGAAGGAGTCTACAGAATTAATTAGTCAGCTCTTCATTACACAACAGAAAGGTACATTTCTCTTCCTGTACAGAACTGATTCTGGTCCTTCAGGCAACTGGATTTTCTTCTGTTCTATTCAAAAACTGTAGGACAGAGAATAATACAGTTTTTAATCTTCCAGCACACCTTGGAAACAATTTTTAAATTATTTTCTGCCAATCCTCTTCTACTGAGAGCTTTCACATGGTTCACAGCTAATATAATCCTACATTTTAAAGAGGATGGATTACAGAGAATTATCCTCCTGGTCATATTACAAGTGGTGAAAGGAACCTTTTTATTTTCTCAGATACAGTTTTATTTCAGAGCAGTGGCCTGCAAACAACTGTTCCCTTACGGCCAGATTGTGCCTTTGGTCACACCACCACTTGAATAGCTAAGAGGAAGAGACACCTTTAAGGCATAATTTTCCCTGTTTCCCCTTACTTCAGAAACAGTGAAAACTTCTTTTTTCTTCCCATAAAACAGCATTGATGTCATCATATAGTTCACTTTCTCCTGCTGTCTTTCGCACCTTTTTGGTCTGTAAGTTGATTCAGCCTGACACTATAGTATGCTGTGTTTAAGCAGAGATCGCATATAATGGGACTCCATTTTTAGCTGCCCCTATTTTAACTTTGTTAATAAAAAAAATAAATAGCAGTAATTTGCTATTCCTGTCCCACTCTATCTCCCTCTTATACATCAGAAGTAAGGGAGAGAGCCAGAGCTTCATTAGTTCTTCATTTGTTCTTCCTCCTTCTCCAATCCGTACTCTTGGCATGAAGGAGAGGAATAAAGATATCAAATAGTTCCTCTCTTTCTTACATCTAAATCATATTCAGGTAACTCACATGTGGATTTTACTGCTCTGTGGAAATGTATACTGTAAAGCACAATCTAATCTTTGGTACCTTGTTCCATTTGTTGGCAAGAAACAGTCTCTCAATGTCAAGACCATTACTAAACATCTAGCACAAGCAGTGGCCAAAGTAACTTTGGCCGAAAGGCAAAGCAACAGCGTTTACCTGTAGTAGAAGTACTTGGTGAGAAAGATATCTGGACAAAGCTGCACAAATGCCTCCTTCCAATTTCTGGCCAAAAGGCAATAACTGCCTTCATGCTCTTGTTTTCATGGAACAGAGAGAGGAGCGTTGTACTGATACATAAAACCTTCTGCTTTTCCTTACCTTTAACAACTATTTATTGTTTTGTCCTGCTTTCCTGACTGGTTGCAGACACAGATGTTTCAGTGAAAACGATAACACTGGCATATTACTGTCAACATTCTGGTTCCTTCAGTCAAGGAAGGTGGAAAACACATCTTTGCTGAGCTTCATATAGTACTAAAAATAACAATGAACTCAGCCTCCAAGTCAGACGAACAATGTTTTTCGACAGTGTGAATTATTTCAAGAAGCTGCTCCAGAGGTTACATAAGCTTAGCAGTCTAACCCAGCTCACCATGAACCTATATATCCTAACCACGTGCAAAGGCCCCAGCTGTCTAGTAACAAATAATAGATTTTTGCACTGAGAGACACAGGATATTACCCAACCAATACAGGATATTGCCTAATTTATATAAAAGCAGTTATGATATCAAAGATGAAGAGACTAACCAAAGAGTGCTCTTCCAAACTTTGAAAAACAACACTCGTTTTTAAAGTCATCCTTTACAAATATCATTACACTGATAATCTGAAGCTGTTCCACAACTATTTGGTCCAATGTAATAAAATAAAGCCTTAGAGTCTTCAGTCCTAAAAAACCAGTCAATAAATAGTCTTAGCTGGCCATTTCAGATCTCTTCAAACTCAAAGTTGGTTTCTATAGAACTGCTCGGGTTTTACAATAGTCTAATGGAGTATACAATCTGGGCCCAGTTTGCTGTGTTGTTAATGTACCCACTTAAACCAAGCACTTCTGTTTTCATACCACTGCTCATCCCCTTGACTTGTCTTACTCCCACAAAGAGGAGAATTTTAAATCCTTATCATTTGCTTTGTAAATAATTTCTAGTTTCTTAGGAAAACATCCTACTAGATTTGGTCCACTGGCAGAAGATCCAAACTTACACACTTGGTGCTCAACATATTCCTAGGCATGCATTTGTGCACAAACAACTGCCAGCTTATTTTGTATTTAGTACAGGACAAAAGCATAAACTACACCAGACTGCTTGTATATAGCCAAAATAGGCACCCATCACTGTTTGTGTTCAGTAACGAACAAACACAGTGAAAATCAAGCCCAGTACAGCTTCAGAATATGGTGATTTCCAGCAACCGTATAAACCAGTGCTAATGCTAAAAGTTAAGAAAATAAGATTTCCTGGTCCCTTGATGAAAATTACTGTTCTCCACAAAAAAAAAAAAAAAAATTAAATGGGGCAGTCCCTGGAATGGAAACACAAAATCTTCCATTCTGGAGTCTCAGGTGTACTACTTCACAAACATTTATAGTGGTCACAAGCACCTGTTCTATTATTGCTCAAGTATAATATTTGATTTGGACAGCTTGAGATGTATTTAATATAGCAGCTCTTTGTGCATATAGCAGAAGGAAATGCAGCTCATCTGTGGAAGAAACTGCCCTGGACTTTCTTGCATCATGGGGCAGAAGATGATGAAATGGCTCAGCCAATACACCTGTGTGCAACTGGCCTTGGATACGACAAGCTACGCTGTCATTTTATGCCAGAAGAATTAATCTGCATAAGGATCTGTTTGCAAAATTAAACATCCACACTGTATTTAAAGTGTATTATGAGTAAGTTTTTTTTCTGCTACAGAATTTTTGCATCAGTAATTATTTCTTGGAGATCAGAGTCTAGCTGAAAGCTGCTTAGATGCAAGACAGAGGATAACACTGCCTTGCTCACCTCCAGGTGACGTTCTTCAACTGTGCCAGAATTCTGTTTGTGCAGCTGCCGTGCTGCTTTTAAAGTGGGTGAAGAATTAAATCCCTTCATGACTGATTAAGTTTGTTGTTCTGCATCTCTGAGCCAAGTATATTTTTATCTGTACTGATTTGGAGTAGAGAATTTTGGGGTTTCTGCAGATTATCAATAGACTTTTCCCACATACCACCAAGACTGCTTGCAAAGTTCCTTAATAAACAAGGAGACGGGAGACCCTGATAGACTCCCAAGTACGGTTCTCAACATAGTTTGCGTCAGTATTTGTTGATCACCATATGCTGGATCAGCCTTGAGGACAAGCACTATAAGCAGAGCTGTTTCATAATGAACAAGCTACTTCCCGCCTCAGGGGAACACTGCTGCATCCTGAAGGTCTCACTGCCCATATAAATCATGTTGTATATATTATGCCAGGTAACCAGGATGCAGATGTGATTCCTCTGCTTTCCCTTTGGTTGATGAGTCTTCCCCATTCAAGTAATTCTCCTGCATTGCCAGGATCTGCCTGAACTCAACCTGCAAAGAGGATCTATGTGTACATGTGGCACTTAGGGACATGGGTTAGCGGTGGACTTGGCAGTGTTAGGTTTATGGCTGGAGTCAATGATCTTAAAGGTCTTTTCCAACCTAAATGATTCTATAATTCTATCATCTGTGCCAGCTCAACCTGCAAAGCCCCTATGAGTGACTTATATATGGGGTTTATTGATGCACCAGTGCAAAATAGCGAACAGCAGAGACCAAAATCTGACCCACAACTCTTAAAGAAAGTACCTGAACAACCCTAAGAACCAGACTGATGGTGTAAGTCCACAAACTTCTTACACTTAGCTCTGCAGTAGTTGCTCTAATGCTTTTTATATCCTTTTCCATAAAGCAGTTCTATTCCAGTAGTCTGGCACTCATGAAAATAATGCTACAATAACAGACTTTCTAGCATTGAACAACACAGAAAAAAATTAAACAGAGTTTCAGGCTCGTGAGGGATTATGATAGATAAATAAGGCAAGAATAACTCAAAGAACTCTGAAAAAAATCTTGAGTTTCTTTAAACCAATAGTGCACAAGAAATGAAACAAAAGATGCAAAGCTGAAGTCACCAAACATCAGGGTTGATATTTGTTAAAACTAGTCTTGCAGCCCAGGGTCTAAGGGATACTCGAAGTCACTTCTTGACAAGTGTAAGCAATGGGACAGTGGGAAGTAAAGTAGTATGATGAACGGCTGCTGGAGGGCAGGAGAAATAGGTCCCAGCATTTGGGCTGCCTAAGAGTCCAAACTGACACCCCATGAACAGCTGAATTTTTTCAGGCTGCATTAACACTTTGCTTGTGTTTCACATTTTTGTAATTCATTGAGATAATACAGAACAAATCCAAGAATATCTCATAATCTTCAATTTTCAGGTATGTAAAGCTATTTCTTTAACAAATTACTCTATGCTTATTCCAAATTTACCTAAGCTGTTATTATTCACCATGGAAATATTTCCAGTGGCTAACTCTCCCCATCTATAGCTATTAGTCAAGGTGACATAGGAAGTGTTGAAACGGCAGATCTTGTTAGAACACTAATATTATTAAGACAGAAGTTAATAATTCTGCAAGTTAACTTTATGACCACTTAATCACACAATGTGATGAGTGCTGGAGGCATTCTATTCCAGATGCATATCCTAATTTACCTGCACTAAAGCACACCTCAGCAAGATACCTTTGTGGTTGAAATATAAAGTGATAAAATGCTGAGCTAAAACTCTCTTTTGAACTGCCGGGAATTTGAGCTATGAAATAAAATCTTTTGCATTTAGCGGGTGTTATGCAACACAGTGTCACTCTTACCTCCATGGGAAAGGCCTTAAAATTAACCGTGTGTTCAGAGCCACGCTGGTTTTCTCTCCCCCAGTGAAATCGAACATCATGTAGTTCAAACTCATGTCCTCGAGGTAACGGCCCCCCTATTAACACTGGGAAAGAAGACAAATGGTAAGGAACTTGGCTTTCGAAGCAGACAAGCCACTGCATATGTTCTCCAAATACAATGGGGAGATTGTTGCAAGCTTCTTTATCATCAGTGGTACTAGAGAGAAGAGTAATGTCAACAGACTTGACATCTTTACTTTTGAAGTACCGTGGAGGTAGAGAAGGCAAACTCAGGCAGTTACGAACAACAGTGAAATTGCTGTCATGCTGCAGTCCTTGTTTTATGAGACAGAACAGCTGGTCATAATACAAAATAAAAACATTGTACCTTTATCAGTCAGAAGAGTGAATATGTTTATTGCTCTTATCAAGACAGTAGCTGTGTGCTCTGAACAGATGGTGGGGGCTCTGAATTGAACGGGTAACAGCCTCCAACTTGTCCAGATGCTTAATCTCCATCACCTATATTTGCTATGAGCCACAGAAACTGATAGAAAACTTTTGATTGCCGGTATTTTGCTAGGTAAAGGTGTTCAGTCATATACCACCTGTCAGGCTTCTGAGATACAGAGTGCCTCCATATCCAGATATAATCAAACATACACACAGGAGCAACAACATACCTCATTTACTTAAAAACAGCTTCTAGGCAGCCATGGCTTTTTCTTACCTTAGTTTTTTAAACATCCGGAATTTCTTATGAAGCATCTGTCCACAATTGCAACACACACAAAACAAACTGGCTTTGTTACTGTAGCTCGATACTTTTGCATTAATGGAGGCTTCTACTGTAAGTAGTAAAAGCAAGCAACTGTACCTTGTGAGGCCAAATCTATTTTGGAATTAATCAATGGAAACATTTTGCCCAGGGATTTCTGAATCTGCTTCAGATCCAATATTACTCCACAAGCTGTAGGTAACTTCCCAATGAAATCATTGAATATTGGCTTCTAGGCAGGGCTGGATTTTACTTAAGGGCATTCACAGTTTTCCCCAGAATCCATTAAATTCTATCTTATGTTTGAATAAATCTTTTACAATCTCTGATAATTGATAAGGATTATTAAATTGCATAACCTACAGCTTTGGGGAATTAAAGTTTCATAATATAAAGTTATTTTGACACACAAACTAAACGGCCTTAGTTTGGAGCAAAAGACATAGCGTAATACTAAAACACAATTAGCAATTGAATCATATTTCAACTGTACAAACACAAAAACAAAACTACAGAACTATAAAAAACCTGAAAGAAAACTGATCAGTTATGGTTTTCATAAGCAATTACATTGGAAAAAAAAATATTCCAATTAATCCTCCTTTAATAATTCTTCATAACTAAACAGCCATTAGGGTTTCTGAAACAAAATGTCCTAAATGTAATTATAGGTTCAGATTTGCTTCTTAAACTTGGTTTATCTATATTCTGTCTGTACCTATATCCTATAGGGAAAATCTACAAATGTGGTGAACATTGAAGTACTTAGAGAAATCTGGACAAACAAAAAGAAACACGATACTCCAGTAGTGCTACTTCTTAGGAAAATGGAGCATTTTCTCTGTTTTAATGTATTGCTCCTAGAGAAAGTGTAACTAGAACAAATGTTCTCTAGATGAGGTAGTTCTGGATCTCCAGGAGCTTCAAAGTGTTTATTTCTGAGGCTTAAGTTACAACACTGATCCCATGATAAAAGTATTTCAATGCATGAAGCACGTTTATCTTTCCTTTGCCTTTCATCAAATCTTGATCCTTGTCAATGCATGAAACATGTTCAACTTTGCTTTGCTTTTCAGCAATTTTTGATCCCCATTAGAAAATGATTCCGAAACCATCATCCACTGTGCAATCCACTGCTGGCTTAAGAGAAGTCTCTCTGTCAGTAGGATATCCTCTAAAGCATTTTTCAGTATACAATTCCATTACACAGTTGGTCATGCTTCTTCCACCTAATGCGTAACACATGTACGACGATCAGACTGGAAGCAGCCTGTGAAAATGTTTGCAATTAAATAACGAGAAGGATTTGGGAATTCCAGATGGACTGCGTGTCCTGAATTAAAGGATAAAATCAATCACCAGTAATGACAAATTGATTTTTAATATGTGTCTTAATCAGTTTACTTTTTTCCACAAAGAAGTTTTTCTTTGACTGTTAACATTACAGTAGATGAAGATCTCTTGCACATTAATTGGAAAGAGTTTCAAACGCATTTAGTGCTCAACAGTTCCCATTAAAATAATCTGGCTAAATGGATTTGTCATCAGAGATCCCCTGTGAGGAAAAGAAGCTGCAGGAGTTTCCGCAATCCCTGAAAATTGGCCAGAATACTAGGTCAAACACAGCTTATTAACTCTTTTCTCTTCTTGGTAGGGAAAACAAACGTTGTCTTCCCCCTCCCAAAAAATGGAAAAATTATCCCCAGTTTGCAAATGGAGAACGGGAAATTATGCAACATAAAATCTAAGGAAAAGCTGAAACTAAAACAAGATTTCCTGAATCATAATTCCGTACCTCAAGTAACAAACTTTTTTTCTATTTCACATTTTCTTATATTTCAAGACTCATCAGGCTGGCCTCACACTCCGTTCAAGTTTAAAAAGAAGCCTTTCCTTCTCCTAAGTCTCCAATGTTTTTGCACATGCATTTAGGTGTGTTGGTCCTATCTTACTGATTATTGCTACTAAGTTACAAACTGCCCTTGGGAAAGGTAGAGTTGAAGGAGTTGCATTTTGGCATGCAAGCGATGACATCATTTGCGGTCACTCTCACTTCTCCACAGGAGAATTCAAGAACCTTCCTGATCCTTCAGGGAGAACCTTACTCCTTGAGAAAAGAGCTCTGCTTCTGATGAAGGCAGTAAAACTGACTGGAAGTACAAAATTTCTATTCTGTTACAAATCCGCAAAATTCTGTGTAAAGAAATGTTCTGTGTTGCAATAATACATGGGATTTATCATGGAAAGGACATTATAAGGGAAAGCATCATTGTTAAAATAACAAACCCTTCCTTTTTAAAACATTCAGGGTAAAACTGAGCTGACTCCCTCACTCAGCACAGCTGTGGCTCCCAAGACTACTGGGATCTCAGAAGGAAACACAAGTTGGAATGCCTCATGGTTTGACAATGTTCAGCTGTTTAAATGCCCCCAACAGGCTGTTACTAGCTAAGATTGGCTAGAAAAATTTGGATGTTCTTTCAAACACATGGTAAGAACTACCAGAGTGCTGGAAAGCACAGTGGACTTTTTTTCCCCCCTACTTTCTTGACATTTGTCTCCCTTCATACAGAGTAGTTCACCCAGATGAAAGGTCTGAATGACAGACTGCAATTTCGCTTAAGTTGGAATTGTTTCTTTTATTACTTGCCTCTAATTCTTATTTGACAAATGACACCAAAAAACCCTTTAAGAAATGAGGACTGCTTTGCTACTTGCTCTTCATCAGTATTGTAAGCATGTATAACCGGAGTACCTGTCTTAATCTGCCCAATTCTGGAGTTAGCATTCAGAATCCACTCAAATTAACGGAAAAGGTTCTTTTAACTTACATGGTCTTTGGACCAAGGACAAATTTTGCCAGCTGTACAAAATAGTTTGGCATCACACCATCTTAGAGATAGTCTTGGACTGCTGCTGAATGCAGACAGCTGTTAATGCCAGTGAATTAGATGACACCCCCACAAGAAGAAATTCTGGACGTGCTCTGAAGCGATCTGGCTTGACCATCCAGTTTGGCGTTGAAACTGGCGGCTCCCATCGCAAGGCTTGCTCCTTTTCCTACTGAAGTCAACAGCAAGGCTCTCCCCGGCCACAGCCCGTGCCGAACGAGCACAACCGCCCGCTGCTGGGAGCCGTCGCTGTCCCTACGCTCCGGGATACCCGCCGAGCGAGCCCGAAGGCAGCACAAGCTGTAGCGGGGAAAGCAGAGGCCGTGTTTCAGCATACCTGATTTTGACTTCAGGGCAATCTGAATTGAATGCCCGTCGTTGATCACTTCGCAGTCGCGACACACGACGTAGTTGGGCGACAAACGCACTTCCAGGAGCGAGGGGTCGTATTTAGCTTCTCTCGAGTTCAGGTTAATGGGCGACTGGTACTCCCCGTTAGCATCAGGAAAAATCAGCCCCCACTCCACTCCTGAGGCACAAGGGAAAGCCGTCACGGGGAGACCCGGCACCCTGCGCTGCACGGCGGCGCCCCGGGCCCGCCAGACCCTCCCCGCCCTCCCCG